CCAGATGGGAGCTGGAAGGGGCCAAGGTCTCTGCAGTGGAATACTGGGTGGCCGAGAAGCCCCAGCTCCCCTGATCTCTGCAGGGCTGGAGAGAGCAGCCGGGGCAGGGGGCCCAGTGAAGCACAAGGAACACTTAGAAAGGGTGTGTGCACACACCAGAGAGAGAGAAGGTGGGAGCACCCTCCAGGGGCATGGCTGTGCCACAGTCCCTTCTCCTCCTCTCCCGTTGGGGTTTGGGGCATGCACACACACGTGCCCAGTGTGCTTTCCAAGACACCATGTCTGGGACTTGAACCATGGCGTCAGCCACGTGGGATCCAGCTGTTCGAACCAGCGTGCATGGGCTGGCCCCGAAGGAGAATTTTTAAAATTTATTTATTTATTTATTTATTTTTGAGAGGTTTTTGCTATAGGGCGCGTGCGCTCTCCAGACAGATGGAGAGATAGAAAGTGAGAAATCACCCCCCGGGGGAATGGCCACACCGCAATCCCTTCTTCTCCATTCTCCTCTTGGGATCTTGGGCATGCACACACACGTGCCCAGCGTGAGTTTAAGCCACAAGGTCTGGGACTCAAATCGCAGTCGACTACATGGGAGTTCAGCGACATAGCCATTATGAACTAACTACTTTTATTTATTACTTCATTCCATTTGTTATTATTTTTTAGTTTGATCAGAGCGAGACAGAGAAAGGGAATGCAAGGAGGCACTCAACCAGGTCCAGGACTCAAACTGTGGTCGGCCACGTGGGAGTCCAACCCCTTTACCACCACACCACCCTGCCCCGGTGCTAACTATTGAACTATTTAGAAAGTCGTGGATCCACAGTGGTGGATTGGCGCCTCTACCTATGTACCTTACACATGGACAAGTGCATAGCCAGACACTGAAGTTCGCAGAGATGATTTCTGGGTCCAAGTGAATTTTTTCCTCTGTGAGTTTCGTATTTTTCGAGCCTTTCGTAATGTATATAAAGTATGTTTCATGTTGGGGATTCCTATCCCCCCATACACACTTTGATCCTTTTCTTAACTTCCAAAAGGATTTTTAAATTTATTTTTATTTTTAAATTATTATTTTTAAGCATGCACGGCATGATTTTCAAGCTGCTGGGTCCAGGACTCGAAGCACATATGGGCTCCAACTGCCTCAACCACTATGCCACCAACTGGCTTTTCAAAATATTATTTTTTCATTTCTTTTTCTTTCTTGCTTATTATTATTTTGCAGAGAACATGCATGATTTTTGCAATTAAGCAAAAGATAAATGACATGAAGCCACACACGTAAGCTTGCGTGTATTTTAGGTGTGCCCCCTGCAGGGAAGAAGAGTTCTTTATAGCGAGGGTGAGTTTGAAAAGGCCGGTGTACAAGCCCACTTTCGGTGCTCCGAGTGTGGGGCCAGTGCCTAAGACCTCGCGTCCCAAACTTCAGCACAGACCTTGGCCCCAGGGCAGCTTCGTCTGTGTCCCCAGGGCCCAGGCAGGGCCGCCTTTGCCCTCATCTGTGGCCAGCTCATGCTCCGTGTCCAAGGGCGACCCCTGTCGGCAGCACTTAGTATGTGCATCACTCGCGAACTGCTCCTAGGGCTGGGATGCCAGTGGCTTTATTTTCTGCGGGTCTGCTGGAAACCTCAAAGTCCCCAGCCGATGCACACACCACCCTGGCTGCATCTTGCTTCCCGTCTGTACCTATACCCCCGGCCTCTAAGGTGTTCCTGGGAAAACAAGGCCAGCAGGCTCGGAGGACGGGGCCACCGGTGCGGCAGCCTTCCGGATTTCATGCAGACCCGGCTTCGTGGGTTGTCAGGAGGCGTGGCAGCCTTTGCTCTGAGGGGCGGCTGTGGAATCCTGGCAGCAGACCAAACATGGCAGACTGAGGCCAGGCAGCTTGTGCTAGCGGTGGGCAGACGGGCCCTTCCGCCGTGCCAGAACCAGAGCGAACAGCACCCCGGCTGAAGGGAGTGGGCAGGAGGGACACGCCGAGGATGGAGAGGGCAGGCTTTCTTGGTGACAGGCACGACACCGGCGAGCATGCCCCCTCGCTGGAGACACTCTGCTGGGTCTAGCAAAAAGCAGAAAACCAGCACGACCTGGCTTTAAAAATGTGCGTGTGTGTGCGTGTGCGTGTGTGCGTGTGTGTGTGTGTGCGTGCGTGTGTGCGCGTGTGTGCGTGCGTGTGCGTGTGTGCGCGTGTGTGTGTGCGTGTGCGTGTGTGTATTCCATGAGAGGAAGAGTGAGACACCCCTAACAGGGTCTTTTCACCATGATGCACCCCCAGCCTCAGCCAGCCTCGATCCCAGGCGTGCACTGAATGTACAGGAAGGCCTCGGGACACGAACCGCAGACCTCCCCTTGTGGTCTGGCACCGCAGACGGTTGTCTTACCCCCGTGCCATCTGCGGGCTCCGATGCAGTCTTTTTTGGACCAGCTCCTGTCTCTGCATTTCGAAGAACCAGATCTCGCACTTAGGGAAGTGTGGGCAGTACATCCGAGAGAACAATGTTTGCCAATACTCATCCCAAACGAATCACCTGGCACACCCTGTCCGCCACCGAGGGCTGCATCGGAGCGCAGCCGGCAGCTCTGGCTGGAGAAGCCGGTTTTAGACACGCCGGGCCTGTCCGTAATCCGCCAGCCTGGCTCTTTCCGCGAGAAAGCTGCTACCCCAGGAACGTGCGGGGCGTGTCCTGCTTCGAGAAAACATGACGAAGCGCTTCCTGAGGCCCATCCCCGGGCAACGTCTTCCTCTCCCTCTTCATCTCCGAGAGGTCTTGGAGCCCCTCTGAGCACAGCTGGCAGAGAGCAGACCCCTGCACGCACACCTGGCCGGCCTCGACTCTCCTGGGGGGGAGGGGGCAGGTGGAAGGTGTCCTGTGTGTCACTCCAAACTGGGCCTGTTCATGGCCAACACTATCCACTCGGAACAGGGCTCAGTCCTCCCCCAACACAGTGTTACAGGTCTGAGAGCGAGGGCCCCTTAAGAAGGGGAAGGACCAGGCCAGCAGATGGAAGTTTAGTCGGCTGGATCCCACGTGGCTGACTGTGCGGTTCAAATCCTGGACCCGGCTGCTTGAAAGGTACACGTGCATGTACATTCCCCGGATCCTGAGAGTGGAGGAGAAGGGATTGTGGCGTGGCCACCTCTGCCGGGAGTGATTTCTCACTTTCCCATTTTTTTATTCTCTCTCAGTCTCTCTCCTGTGAGCTCACACTCGCTATTATAAACTTAAAAAAAAAAAAAGGCACCAGAAAAAGGATGGAGGAATCATGTTATGGTGGGGGTGGGGACACATGGGAGTTTCATTTGATTTTGCTGGAAGGACTGGGCGGAGGCTCGCCCCACTACTTCCCCGGAAGCCAAGGGAAGACCGAGAATCCTGCTTACCGTCCCCAGGAAGTATGGCATCCAGCTCTCTGGAAAAGGCCAGCGAGTAGCGGTGGGATGTTGGGCCTCCCTGGTTCGTTCAGGTGACAGGCTTTGCCCCAGCTCAGGGGACAGGGGCACAGACTGTCACAGCTTCTGCCTGACCACAGTCCGGGCCCAAGGCCAGACCTGGATTCCTGGAGCCAGTGTGTGCTGCCTGGAAGAAGGACGCTGTGCAGGCTTGGCCCCGGGAGGGCACTGCGGGGAGACAGACGGGCACGTATTGTATATTCTGGGAGCCCCCCACCCCAGCTAGGGCGGGGAGCGGAATTTCAGCTCCAGTAGGTAGGAGGGACAGAGAACTGGTACTGAAGCCATTTTACAGATGAAAACAGAGGACCCCCCCCAAAACAAAACAAAAACACCTGACACCCAGCGTGGGTGCCCTGGTTCACAGCCAGTTGGGACAGTGCTGCCACTCCCCAGGTGAGCATCTAGGCCGGTCACCCTTTTTGCTTTGACCCATGAAGGCTCTGGCCTGTACAGTTAAAAGAGGTACAGAGCCTAAGGCTGGAGGTGACATGGTGGTAGAGGGCGTCAGGCTCCCACATGGCTGACTGTGGTTCAAATCCTGGACCCGGCGACTTGCTTTCTCACTTTCCCTCTCTTTCTGTCTCACTCTGTCCCTCTCTGGTCAAACTAAAATAAATACAGTTAAATAAAACAATTATTTTTAAAAAGATTAAAACAAAAAAGGCACGGAACCCTCGCGGGCATAGGGAAGGTTTCTGAGTTAGTGAGCACGTGTGTCCTTGGCTCCTGGGCTTCCCTGTCGTCGTGTAAACCTGTGAGGTATCAGAGAACCCATTTTTCTGACGAGGCCGTGGGAGGCTAAGATCCTCGCCCACTGTCACATCACCGGCACGTCTGGGTCGGGAGTCAAACCAGCGTCTCCGACTGGAAACCCAGGCATTCTCCTCCCCGAGGAATGGCTAGAGCAAACAGTTCCCAGAGTCTCTTTCAGGGGCCATGCTTGTCCTGGAGTTAAAGATTCCGAGACTTCACATGGGAGCCTGAGTGCCGCGGTTCCATGGCGGGCGCAGGCCCTTCTCTCGTCCCCTGCCTGTCCTCCGGCTCGTGCCTGCGCACGGGCGCTCCTCTCTGGTCCGCAGCCCGCGACCTGCTCTCGCCCTCCGGCTGCGGCTCCCCGGAGCTCTGGGCTCCAGCGCCCCCTGCTGGCCGCGGCGGGCGGGACGGGCGCGCGCCGGCTCGGCGGGCTTGGGTCTGCGTCTCCCCGAGCGGCCGCCA